GTTGAAATAACCCAACAACGTTACAACCAATATCTTTTCAAGAGACTTCATCACTTTAAAACCCCAAAAAATCTAAACCCCTATTTTTCACTTGCCAAAAAAAAAAAAATAAAAAAAATCAACCAACCATGAACAGCTTTGTATTAATGACACAAAAAGATAATGCCAGGAAAACACAGCTTTTTAAATCCTTTTCCCTTCCTTTATTCAAGCCACTCTACAAGTGCCTAATCTATTTTGGCCACAATATTCACCAATAAAATCTTCTAATTGCATAGGTCATGTAGTCTTTAATATTTTTCTGGATTATTAGAGGAGCAAAAGTTTTATAAAGCAATTGAGCTTTTTCACTACTTCCCATTTTTCCAAATGGACAGAAATCTTACCTTTGCCTCCCTCATAGCCCTTTCTTCCATAAGGAATTCTATTAATGGAAAGGATATACCCATCTTCTGTTGTCACTTCGTACTCCTCACTAGGGTATCCCCTGAAGGTGATAATTTCACTCTGAGGAAAGAAAAGAAATCATCTTGGAGCCAGACTGTCAGGCTCCTCAGTCCAGGAACATATGCAAAGTACTCTGCGTTTCTTCTAAAGACAGCAATGCAAAATTAAAGGATGCGGCAGGAATGTGCAATACCACCTGCCCATTCAATGCAGGCAGGTTTTCTTAATGAGACTTACCCCAGTACAGAGTCAGGAACTAACCAGTGCACAGACCTTATCCCAGGAATCTGAGAGGACTCCCTAGCCTGTCCCTAGCCACATGGTGCTTACAGCAAGAAAGAAGATGGAAGTGTTGACAAGGAGACTATGGTAACAGGACAAAACACCGAGATGCAGATTTGGCAGACAAAAATTTAAATTGTCTGCTCTCAAGAAAACAAGTATCTTCTGGTAATAAAAAAGTGAGGGCAGAAAAAACTGGCTGGCATCACTGCAGCATATGGAAGGAGAGAAGGATGTGCCATTTCTTTCCTTTCTCCTCAAGCCTTATGTCTGTTGCAGAGCTTTAAGTGACTTTGTTGACAAACCGAACAAGAAAATAACAATAAAAATCTTTACACTCATTTAACCCTATAATTTCATTATTAGGTTTATCTTCTATCTGTTATATCTTGGGCTTTATGTTATTTTATTTTGATGCAACTCCATTAGGGCAGTGAGCTTGCTATTTAACTGGTTTCATGACATCAACCTGTCTTGAGAAAATGTAAGAAATGCAAGACATGATCAGAGTTCTACTCTTAGACTGCTGGGCAAGGAAGGGGAGGAGAATTTAATTAAGCATGCTATTTCTTTCAAATATATCTTTCATTACCCACAGTGACATTAACATTCCAAAATGATTTCAAGGCTAGCTTCTATTCAAATGCTATTAGCCTTAGACTAAATGATTATTTTCAGTCCTTGAAAGTGTATTTGCATGATCCAAGCACTTCTATTCTCAAAGACCTCGAGCATTTCTAGCTTAAAGTATCTCCTCGCACATGTGAAAAAAATCGCAGTTTAGACGGAGCACAGGAAAGAGCAACTAATACCAGTTACCAACAGCTACCAACAGCAAATACGTTCACTAGTTGGCTACTGCAGCAGGAGGAGAATGAAGTTAAGAGAGTAAATGCCGAATGGGGAGAAAAGCAGTTCTGGGTAAGAACGCGCGACCGCGGCGCTGAGAGCGCAAGTGTGCTCCATGAACATCCGCTTTTCTAGCAGTAAAGAAAGAATGTCCGGACTCTGGCAAAAAAACCCATAGATCTACGTCAGACAATATGTGAGAGAAAGATTCGCCACAGGCAACAGGGGACAAAGAAGGACCTCGAAGGAGGAGAGGAGAAGAGAAAGAGGAGGTGTAAGCAGCGGGTGTGAGCAGCTGCAGCCCTGGGCTGGCCGCGCACAGGTGGCCGAACCTCCGGGGCTCTCTCCGCGGCTGCCGAGGTCGCCCAGCGCCCTCTGCGCCGCTCCTCGCCCCGGCACCGCCCGCGGCCGCGCCCGCTCACAAGGCTCGAGCACTTTTCCCCACGCCGCGCCACTCACGATGTTCATGTTGGTTTCGGGGTCCACATTCCTCCTCCGTGCGGCGAACGCGCCCGAGCCGGCGATGCTCTGCAGCAGGAGAGCGGCGACCACCAGGGTCCGCATCCTGGTCCTGCAAGGACGATGCGGGACGCCGCGGAGAAGCAGAACCCGGCACAGCTGCGAGCGGGGCCGGTCGGGGATTATGTGCCGCCCCTCCGGGACAGGGGCGGGGGCAGCGGTGCGGCCGGCGGGGCGAGGGCGGGGAGGCCGCCCCAGCGGCGCGACGAGCGCGGCGGGGCTGGGCGGGGTGTGTCCCGCACCCCGGCGGTGCCTTGGGCGGAGAGGGGCGGCTGCAGCCCCGCCGGGCCCGCCCGCGCCCCGCCCGCCGCCGCTGCCGGCGCGGGGATGGCCCGGCGGGAGGAGGCGCCGGCCCGGCCGCCGCTCGGCCCAGCGGCGCGGCCTATGGGCGGCGGGGCCCGCCCGCACCGCCCGCCCGGCCTTGGGCCGCCTGAGCCGCCGTGATTCAGCGTTTCTCCAGCAATACCATGTGGATCCCCCCGCCTCCCCCTGGGCTCCATTTGCAGGAGCCGCTCAGCCTCCGGAACGGCGCCCGTGGACTTCCTTCCCAGCCTTCCTCGTCTTCTGCATCTGCCCGCACTCCGGAGCCTGCAGAGCCTTCACGGAGCCGCCCTGCGAGGGTCTGCTGTCTGTTCCTGACGGCCCGCAGCAGGCCCCAGGCAGAAAGCGGCGGCAGCAGCGAGGAGGGAGGGGATGAGCCGCGCCCGCCGCGGGCTCTCCCTTTGTCCGCAGGGAGCATCCCGGGGATGCCTCCCCAGCGTGCCGGGTACCTGCGCCTCGGGAGCCGCCGGTCCTTCCTAAGGACTGTACAGCGTTGCCAGCAATCACTGCCATTCTTACACAAACAGATCGCTCGTCCATCATCTGTGAGCATCGTCTAAACATAGCAAACCTAATACAAACGGGCTTAAGTTACACGCCGGCACGCAGTTACAGCAGGGTTATCATCGCTGCTTCCTGCAAACCTGCGGCAACTAATTGGCAGGCACTGCGTTGCGTAGCTATAATTTCCCAGAGAAGCGTGTCTGTGGTCAAGGAATATGTGACTGGGCTTGAAAAAACTTGGACCAAATTCAATCCTTTAATATAAATATTCATGTTATTAGGCCAGGCCCATATCCATAGAATAATACAGAAACCTGATACTAAACACACAGCGGTAGAGCAGAAGGGTGTCAGGAACTAAAATGTTTCTGTTTATTTAGAAAGCATTAAGATTTTAATCGAAAAATCATTGAAATTTTCATAGCATACCCTTGTTTTGATATGTTGATATGTCAGTAGATACAAATGACACTATGTGATCCTTTGCATTCCTGGATCCCATTTCTTAGGATTGTTTGGTTTTAAAGAACTTGGGTAACAAAAATATTGCTCGGCGATTCACTTGGGTTGTTTTGTCAAATTAATTACAGAGCATTCTTCCTTCCTAGGGGAAAACTCAAATTATAAAATGCCACAGCTGCTGCTTTCAAATGTAGTAATTATACACTAACTTAGGCTATATTGAAACCTGCATAATATAGGATATTTAAAGTGATCCTGTTTTTTATACCATTCATACCATTTAATGGTATCATTCATTTACATTATTTTAATAATGAAAATTTCAGGCAATTATTTGGCTGAGCTAATGATATGAGGGAGAAATTCTTTGTCAGCAAGTATCCTTTTCAGCTCCAAGGAAATGTCCAGATATGAGTTTTCTCCCACAAAACGTGTAGATATTTTTGAAGCCATTTCCTATTCTTGTGTATGTATAGAGCACTCAAGTAAAGTCTTTGTATAAAATATGAATGCAGTTGTTGTTCCCCGCCCATTTCTGGACACGTGTTTTCCAAGAAGCTGCTTCTGCATTTGCTGTTATGCAATGCAGCTTTCCCTGATGGCAGTCAGCCCAGCTACAGCTTTCCCTGAACTGAAACCAGCAGGGATGTAGGAGGATTTCTGAATTTTCCTGTGCGGTGCCCACCAAGTTACAAAGACGACTGCAGAAAGGCATCGCATAACTGTTCTCTTACTCTATTTTAAGCACTTTCCTGCATTTATTTTATTTAATAGGCATTTGTGTCAGACCATAGCATATAGATGCAACTAAATTTATAAAAAACAAGGAAACTGGAGCAAATTTTTGCACTCCAGCTGGAAGATTGCTGCATTTTCCCATATGTACCAAGCAATATACCAAAGACAACAGACACCTGGGTCAGAAGGAGAGATCAGAAATCCAGAGATACTTAGTAGCATAATGAATCATTGGTGTCCACATTTGATTTTGGCATTTCAGAAACCTTATAAACACACTTTTCTACAACTACCTGCAACACTTATTTTCCATAAAATACATGAATATGTGTAGATACTCTAATCCATTTTCCTTCTCAGTTCACTGCCTCTTTTCATTACTTACCAAATACCTGGTTGCTAGAACCTTGAAGGTTATTCAGAGTAGTAGCTGTACTAACCTTTTTCTTGAGCTCTGAAACATCAACTCCAACAACCCCTCTGAACACACACATACACACACAGTCACTCAAATAAGACACAAAGAGGTGTGTGTGTGTGTGTGTTACTAAGGCTCTCCAGATTCTGATACAAACCAGAAGTTCTAAGTAAGACCGATTTGTTGGGGTTTTTTTGAAAGAAGGAAAAAGAAGAAGAGGGAAAGGAGGGAAAAGAAGGAGAAGAGGGAAAGGCAAAAGACAGCCTTGTCCTGGAGAGTCGCTGCCTGCCAGGAATTCACTCTATGCAACTGGAACTCATGCTGCCAGGAGCGGTCCCCAAAAGAGCAGTTCCCCAGTGGCTGCCCCAGCTTCCCCCCGAACAGCCCAAGGTCACTGGAGCCAGTTGGACAGAGCCACAACCTGGCCAAACCCAGAGGATAAGTGCAGTTTACCACCAGATCCACAGGTTCCCTCTGCCTTACATATGTGGGAAGGTGGGGATATAGACTGTTCATACCACAGAAGATAAAGTTTTATAAGCCAGAACCTACAATTCTCAATTACAAATTGGCAGTCAGAGGTTATATAAATTTATAAATAAAAACATGGAATACCATTTATTCTTGTCTGTAGTTGCAGAGATTGAACATGATGGCAGCAGCAGCAATTCTGAGGTGATAATGAGGTTTGATATAAGTGATTTCTGGCTTAGGACAGAGGGACAACCTGTGCATCCTCCACTAAAAACTTCACAAAAGAAGCCAATTGAGGCAGCCTTATATGCATTTTTATTTGCTTATTCCTACAAGACAGGGCAGGGGGGACACCTCAAATTAAAAATTAAACATGTTTTTTAACAAGATGCTCTCAAGTTTAAAAATGGAATGGATTCAAGAATGGAGAGAGGTTCTGTGATATTTATGGGTAAAGATGAAACAAATATTATATAGATAAAGGTTTTTTTGTTACTACAATGAAAAACAGTCTACAATCAATAAATAGCATATTACATAGTAATAGCCTATATGCAAGAATTATCATTAGTCTGGATCTAATTATTAAAAAAGAGGCAATAATAATGCTGTTAAAGTACTTATTTACAGAACAAATTTTACAAAACCAGTCTGCATTTTTTAATTTTTTAAACTAAGCATCAATGAGTTGTTCGTATCCATACAGTCCCCAAGCTGTGCCCTTCTCTTTGTTACCGTGTGTGTAGCTCTGTAACACAGCATTGCTGTTGCTCCCAACAGGCCATAAGCTTTGCACTGAGTTTGCATGGCCTCGGGACTGAGGCTTGCCAGGTCTGCTCAGTTTGACCTTGTCCTGACCCACCTGTGACTTTGTTTTGTTTGGCACAACTGTGACAGCAGTTTCTTGAACTGACTGCCTATATCTAACTTGGTATACGAAAGGTTAATTTTGGGTTTATGTAGGGAGAAGCAACAAACAGTTCCTGCAGGTGGGATGAGATATTTAGTACTCTCAAACAATGACACAGTCCAGAGAAACACAGGCCTGGTACAACAGCAGAGACCTTGTGATGTGGAGGCACAGGATGAAGGAGAAAAAGCAGGGGCTGTGCTCACGTGCATGACCAAACACAAATAAAATAGGAGCCTAAAGCATGATGTAGGTGTGCAAAGGTGCAGAGGTAAGAGGAGGAAATGACCCTTCCCGAGCCTGTACATGATAACCAGGTCAGCCCACACTAGACTGAAATATTCCCCCTATCATAGATAACCCCTGCCTTTGAACAGAGTAAATGCTGGAAGCACTAGGAGCTTTTGCCACATTCTCCACAACACAGAGTAATATATGGCACAGAGCCAGGCTGAAAAAGAGCAGCTTATTGTGCAGCAGTTTCGATTCTCCAACTGCAGACTGCTCTGCGTCTTCGGCAGACTCAGAGAAAAGCTGAAGTTTCACTTTCTGTTTCCCGTGAAAGTGGTCACAGACCACGTGATGGTTGGATTCTATAAAATGGGAAGCATAACAACAGTGAGCAGCACTCCTTCAGCTTTGAAGCTACATGAAGACAAGTGAGCAGAGAAGGAAAATCATGAGGTAAGATAGCAACCTAGTCCCTGAAAGATGCTTTTTCTCTATGCCACAGGAAAATAATGCTTATTATTTACATAAATGTAAATAATGAGGGACTTTGAGCACTGAAACAACAAAAAATATTTTACAGAATACTTACTAGAAGAATCAAAATAAAATAAGGATGCTTTTGAATATTGTCATGTTATTGCTTCTCCAACAAGGTTCAGTTTCTGTAAACAGAACAGAAAGATTGTGTACATGCAGTTTGGGAAAAATGTGGATAACACATTCATGTTTTTTTGTTGCCAAGTCATGTTTATCCTAGTCAAGGACTTCTTTGTGTCTCATGTCCTGCCAGTGAGGAGGAGCACAAAAAAAGCTGGGAGGAAGCACAGGTGGGACAGGTGACTAAAACCAGCCAAAGGGATATTCTACACCATAGAATGTCATGCTCAATATATAAACTGGGGGAGTTACTTGGAAGAGGGGCTGATTGGGGTGTGGAGACGGGGTCTGGCATCAGGCAGCAGGTGGTGAACAATTTTATTGTACATCACTCGTTTTTCCTTGAGATTTATCTTTCCCTTTTATTATCATTTTTACTATTATTATTAGATTTTACTTTTTTTCAATTATTGAACTGTTCTTATCTTGCCCTACAAGTTTTGCTTTTGATTCTCTTCCCCATTCCACCAGGGTGGGGAGTGGGGATGAGTGAGCAGCAAAGTGCTTAGTTCCCAGCTGGGCTTAAACCTCAACAGGGACAAAGGGGTATTAAGGACCAGTTGTATGTAAACAGGGTCTGGTCAGTAAGTGTGTGTATTTGTTTAGGGGTGAAGCACCTGGAGAGAGAGACAGGCTCCCTGACCAGACACTGGATGTCCAAAGTCAGCTTCTGAGGAGCCATAGGGTTAGTGAGTGAGCATGTGGTCTGTACCAGCAAGTGGAGTGGGCCTGTACACCCAAATGCTGGCAAACAGGGAGACTGCTGTGATCTGGGATCCAGCTCCTGGGTATGATAGTATAACTATAAGATAAGAATGGTGCCATGATCTGACAAATGAGGATTTACAAATGCAGGAAACTCAAAATTAAATTTATAACATAAGCCATAAAATGTATAGAGACATAGGAAAGGCACTAAATCACTTTCTCTATATGTTAAGAGAACCTCTTTTGGGTAGGCTTCAGCAATTGTTCCCAGCACAGGATATATGGTTCTGAGGCCCAGAAGTGTGCCAGCTTTACCACAGAGACCAGCCCTCCTCTTTAACATCCAGAACACCAGCTCTGTTGCAATGTAAGAGATGTCCTCATATACAGGCAAGGAGAATTACTAAAATAACTATTCAGCACTTTAGACCTATGGCTCCCCACAGCTTTGGCTCATTTGAAGTGTTGTGGACTAGGGGCATGAGGTGAGGTATTGTCTGCCTTTAAAGTATATCATGCGTGGTTTAAAAACAAGAATAGCAAAAGGCAAATAGAGTATAAGTATGTTTTTCTTTGATTTCTTCTAGTACCATTTCCAAGAATTCCTTGAAGACTTCCCTGCTGCAGTTACAATGTCATTTTACATGGACTTTGCTGAAGCAGGATGTAGATATTGATGACCTAGAAGAAACAATAGTCAATCAGATCAAATATTTCACAGAATCTAACCTAACAGATTATAATCTGCTATCCTATATATGTCACCTAAAGAATTCAAATGAGAAAGCCCTGAGAAATCTCCAGAAAGCTGAAGAAATTGTTCAAAAATGTCATCCAGATGAAATTGCCAGGAGAAGTCTTGTTACCTGGGGGAACTATGCCTGGATCTATTACCACATGGAGAGATATGAAGAAGCTCAAACTTATGTAAGCAAAGTGGAAGACAGCTGCAAAAAGCTTTCCATTACTGCTGATGGGAAGATGCAGCTTCCAGAGGTCTATGCTGAGCAAGGATGGGCATTATTACGTTTTGGGGGGAAACACTATGAGAGAGCAAAGAATTGCTTTGAAAATGCTCTAAAGGATGAACCTGATAACCCAGATTTTAATGCTGGCTATGCAACAGCACTGTATCGCTGGGAAAATTTAGCTTCCAGATGTGGTGAAGACACAAGCCCATCCACTGAGGCCTTGAAGCGGGCAGTGGAACTGAATCCAGAGGATACTTGTGTCATGGCATTACTTGCATTAAAACTTCAGGACTTAAATCGAGCTGATGAAGGTGAGAGGTACATTGAAGAAGCTATGCAAAAAACCCCTGATCTTCCTTATTTCCTGCGATATGCTGCTAAATTTTACAGAAGGAAAGGAGAAGTGGGCAAGGCAGCGAAGATTTTGGAAAAGGCCCTAGCACTGACACCAAATTCTGGCTTTTTGCATCACCAACTAGGAATCTGCTACAGAGAAAAAGTATTTCAATTGCAAAGAACAAGAAATGCACCTCAAGATCAAATGGAGAGACTCATCGAACTTGCCATTTCTCATTTTAAATTTGCGGCAGACCAAAAGAAAAAATTTATTGCTACCCAAACTGGCCTAGCAAATGTGTATGCACTAGGCAAGAGATACAAAGAAGCAGAAAAGATATTTCAGGAACTTTTTCAGAGAAATAATCTACTCTGTCATGAAAAACAAGAGCTCTACTACAATTATGGCAATTTTCAGCGTTTTCACATGAGGTCAGTATCAAAAGCCATTGAGTATTATATAGAAGGGCTGAAAATGAAAGAAGAGTCCTTTGGAAGAAATAAGTGCAGTGAAGCTGTGCAGAGATTGTTAAGACAAAAAATTGAGAGAGGTTCAAGAAATGCAACAGATTTTGGAACACTTGGACTTGTTCATAAGCTAAATGGTGAGAAACAAAAAGCAATTGAGTGCTATGAAAAAGCCATTGCTTTGGATCACAATAATGAAGAATATCAGAATGCATTATTTGAGCTACGACTGTCTATCTCAAGCTAAAGTTCACAAAAATCCTTCACACCCAAAAAACTCCAAACCCAAGGACATTTCAAGAGACTCCCTAAACTTTTGTTGTTGGTTGGTTGGTTGGTTTTTGTCTTAAGGTAGACTTTATGACCAAATGAAACATGGATGGTATCGCTTTCTGATCATAATGTAGAAACTGCAGACAATGACTGTTCATTTGTTCATTTGGTAACAGAGAGCACGCTTAGATAGCTATATAATGTAACATATAATATATAATAATAGCTATACAATAATAGCTCATCTAACTTAGGTCTTCAATGCTAACGCAGGTCTAAATGATTATCAGTAGAACACAGAACTTCTAAGCTAAAAGTGAGATATTACCTTCTATTGAGAAAAAGATAAGGGAATCATATGGTAGTATTTTGTCTAGATAGTTGAAAGGCATGCTTAAACCAAAATGGAATTTCTGATGCTTTTTCAAGTATTTCAAACATATCTTTTGTAGAAGGAACTTTTGTTGAAGGCTTGTTCAGTTTACTAACTTGTATGCTGTTTAATTATGAAAAATATCAAAAAACATTGTTCGCTGTAAAGCTTACAAAATGTGTATTATTGTTGTGAACTACGAAAGGGTATTAAATCTATCAACTATTGCTTCTGGTATCTCTCTGCTGACCAGTCTTCCTGTTAGTAGATTAGGTAAAAGGAAAATGGCCATTTGAAAAAGTAACAGGGATAGAGTTTTGGCAGGATATGAAAGACTTAGTAGATAACCCCATTTATTTTCCCTGTAGTCTCAGCAAAACTGGCTTCAGAGGCGTTGCACCAGAGAATCAAACTGTGCACAAAACAGCACCTGTCTCGTTTACCCAAAACCACACTATCAGGAGCCACTACAGCAAACATCTGGAGAGGGAGGAAAGGCAGTCCCTGAGCTGCCAAAGAGATGGCTATCTGTGGCCCTGGTTGTGAAACAAGCCAGGGGTAGCAAACACACACAAGAAATGAACTAAAGTGGGCACGGAGGGCAGAGCACAGCTGGAGACAAGAGTTGCATGAGCACCAGAGAGCAGGGCAGCAGAATGCAAGGGGCATGTGGAAAGTGGGGTGGGTGCCCCCAGAGTCCGGTGAATGGGATAAAGGGCTGAAATGACAGAATGGGTGGACAAGGTGATCATCTTCAGATATTTAACTGAAAGTCAATATTCTTTACAACAGCCCAGCCTAATTCCACAGTAGCGTGCCTTCGTACGATAGACCATGGTGCTCAGGGAAAACTAATGCTGTAATTCCAAATCACTTCTGAGCCCTAGCCAGTAGTGTAGCATGAAGCAAACTGGTGACAGAGCCCATGTCAGGAAGGCTGTGCACTTTAGTTCCCAGCCATCCTGCAATATTCCTGCCCGGACAACAGCGCCCCTGTATGGACAGAATGGAAGCCTGAAAGAGTGCAAAGCACAGTGCCAGATCAGAAAACATGAATAAACCTCTTCCTTCTCAGCTCTCCCTCAGAGACTCTCTCATAATATGATCAAAAGTGATCAGGAGCTTAACAGCGTACATAATACACCCACACCTTCTGCATAAGAAAGGGCTAGGGAAAAATCCGTCCTTGTTTCCCAGCCACCTGCCAGCTTCTCTCTTACAAAGGCAGCCCTACCTTGGAAAGGAACAGTGAGGAGAGAGAAGAGGAAGGACTGGGAGCAGGACTGACAGAGCACTCCTGGAAGCTGGTAGGAAGAACAGCGGGGTTGAAGTCAGGAACTAGTGACTACCTATGGTGATGTGCTCAGCTATTTGGGCAAAAGGGTATGTTAGGTGATCTCACTGCCTTTCTCAATCTTGAGCGTTTCTAAGCTCAGCATCATTGCTATCCAAACCCTACTGAGGGCATAGAGGGTGGAGGACAGCAGAGAACGATTTGAGAAAGAGGTGGTGGCACATCTATTCTCCCCTCCACCAGGACCTCTCCTGGGAAAAAAAAAACTTGTAAAGAAAAAAAGGATAAACTAGAAATTATTTTGAAAAAAAATGTGAGCTGAATTTTTATGAAGAGTCAGAGTGGTTCAATTTTCTGCACAGCAAATAAACTGACTGAGGGACATAGTGATGCACGAAGTGTATTTATTGTGCCTCACCTCCTTCGGACTCTGAAGGACTGAGCTGGATCGCCGTAATACCTGGGGATGTTCCGTACGAACAGCCTTTTGTGTGTCTTGTAAATTAGGAGAAATGTTATCTCCCACAGGGTGGTGCTGCTGCGCCGCCTGGCACAGCAACGTGGGGAAGAGGCTGAGCTTGAGCTTTGGGAGGCGGACAAAATGAAAGACAGTTTGGAGCATCCAAGTCCATTGGGCAAAACCAGAACCACATAGAAGCCGAACCCCTCTCAATTCGCACCCAAGTATGAATTATATCGCCGGAGACTATGCCAGTGGTGCAGGGAAAAAATGACTAAAGATAACCCTTCAGGAAGTGTTAATTTACAAATCAAAAGCACCTTCTAAATTATATAAAAATTCTACTGAAATATACCAGAATAGTCACTTAGAAGAAGGCATTGTTTATTGAGGCAATCCCAGCTAGGACTTTGCTAAGCTGACCATGAAGGACTGTAACAACTTAACTTAAACAAGCTCTTTCTTCTCACATAAATTTGTAACACTTTAGAAAGCAAACAAGGAATTATTGTGGCAATATAAAATATATTCCCCATATAGTAGCACAAACAGCCTTTGTTTTTCAGAAGATAAATTATTATCCAAACTGAAAGGAATGCTTTAAGGATGTTTCTTCTGAAAAAAAAGAGCAATTCTTCAGTGGAAGGTACTTTTCCAATGTTGTCTTCACGCAATTTTTCAATGTACAATTTATTAAATGTCCCAGATTATCACTAGAACATAAATAATTTCATAAATAATTTCACAAATTCTAGAACATAAATAATTTCAAAAGAATTATTACTACCCCAATTCAAACTTCATGGAATGGAAACAGATGGCATAACTTCAGCAGCTGTAAGCAGTACTTACACTGAATTTCCATCTACTGCACAGAACAGAGCATTATTCCAGGCAGGATTCATCTGAGGTAGAATCTTTCTGTTCCTGTCTCAGACAGATCTTACCCCAGTCAAGTCAAACCACGCCATCCTGGGAAGCCAGACAGGCTCAGCAGTGCAGTGCTCCATCCAAGCTCATATCCATCGATACCTGTATCCATCAGGGCTGGCAGGAACATAGAATTACATGATCACTAAGGTTGGAAAAGACCACTAAGATCATTGAACATGCAGTGTAAGCCTGGCAAATTGCTCACAGCTAGCCCAGCTATCTCACTTTACTGCTGCACTGTGCCATGCCAGGAAATCTCCTCCTTGAAGGACAGCCTGTCTGAAAAAATATTATTATTATCCTGTCTGAAAAAATATTACAGATACAATGAATCATTCTTTAAAAATATTGTAAGCCAGAGACTTCTACAATGCATTGCCTGAAATATATCACATGGCAGGATAAAGATGAACTGTTCAGCTTGGGTTGTGTGGATTAGGGGGTAGAAGTCTGGTGTAAGGTTTCACCAGCCTGAATTGTATTCCCATTTCTTCTGCTTGCAGGTTGTTAACACTTCCTTCTGTTTCTTAGTGGGGACATTCATGACAGGGCTGGTATTTCACAGTGTCTTTTATGCACAGAAAGCATCATTTCGGTATATAAGCTTTTCCCCATTGACTTAAGTCAGAGCAGAAACAGCATTAGAAAACCTTGAAAGAATTCTACCATTTTCTACAAAAGGTCTGTGTATAAAACCAGTTGAATGTTTGTTGCTAAATAAGATATTTAAAACAAGAAGTACTACTTTAACACATATAGGGAAAAGCCTATGAAAAAATATCTTGAAATAAAAAAAATTAAAAATGCTACGAATGTATTACACAGTATAGTTTACATGATAAAAATGCATGTCACCATATTCCAATAGGCTTTTACAATATGCAGCTCTGACAAGAACAACTAGTGACATGTTATGATGTGGTAAACAAAGTAATTAAATTTTTGTAAAGTAAATAACAATGGTTATAACTTGTTTAAAATTACTTATATTCTTTGTAGACCATACTACACCCCACTTCTTTACTACTTAAATATTGCATTAAGATCTAAAACATTATCTTCATCAGTATTAATTAATAAAACCACCTCAATTTTTCCAGATTTGCATATTTTTCCTAACTCACTAAGAAACATTCATGGAGGATTTTTGTCTTTTTTTAATGAATATATGTTAAAAACAATATCAGGGACCAGGACTCAATTTTCATGCAGAGCCGAAGAAAGGTTATGTCATTACCTTTAAGCAGTTTTTGCACTCCCATCTCTTATTCTGTGGTCTGTGCACATATATTATCCTACTGGCTCTGACTACACTTCTGAAGCAGGGCAGCGAGAAATGCTTTATTTAATCACAGACAATTGAAGTCAAACAATTTTAATATTTTATATTTGAAATATGCTTGAATAATAAAACTACTTGATACACATGCTATTCATATATATATATTAAAAAATACATTATACCCCTATGGCTGTACTCTTGATCTAAATCAGCTTCGTGAACATCAATCTATGTTGCTTTCCCTTCCGAGGCACAGGGTGGAAAAGGACACCATGAGCAGCCACTGAATACACTGCAGATGATTAACAAAACTGCTAGGTCTGTGTTAATGAAAATTATTTGGACTCTGATCAATTTGTTAATGAACAGAACACAGCTTTATACACCATCAAAATACTGAAATTATTTGTATTGCAGAATGTGAAGTTCCTCCATTGTTGACAACATTTTCATTCTGAAAATGTAGAAACATCCCATTATTTATTAGATCAGTAATTTAACCCACGATCTACATTCAGTCCCTAGCTCCTGTGAAGCAGCCAGCTGTAGTGAATTCCTCACACAAGTAGCAGGAAACCACCACCAAGTTGCAGCTGTTGTGTTCTGGCCATCAAGGACAAGTGACCCGACATCTCTTCAGATGGCACAAACGACTAAATTGCACCACCTGAAGATACAGCTCCTGGGGCCAAAAGGAGAAAGACTTGCCACTGCAATACACAGCACAATCCTCTTTACTCATAGCCTAGACAGGGAGCAGTCTCTCTGTCATCTGGTTGCATGGACTCTAAAGTTCTCCAACATGAGCCTCTCCTCTGGTCTCCTGGGCTGCCTTTAGGATTCTTCCAACTAATGCAGCTAAAGCAGGTTTGTCTATCAGCATGCCTAGTCCTCTGGCACAAAGTTACTCCTTTTCATATAGCAGAGCTGCCACAGTACCTCTTCCACCCTTCAAGACAAGGATCAGCTGGAAATCATATCTGGGATTTCAATTTTTAGAAATTCAAGCTTTAAAGACATCCAGAAGGAAAAAAAAAATTTTTTTTTTTTTTTTTGCTGTAGAGGGCTTGGGAAAGTAGGTCTAAAATTATATTTGAAATTAAATTGGAATGTATGTACAAAGTTCAGGTACACTGTAAAAATTAAAGCTGCTCCAGAGATACTTTCAGCATAAATCACATGTGGAGGTTTTTTGGTGGTGTGTGTTATTAGTCCATTGAAACATACTACAACACACCATCAAAAAGCTTGGGTCGTTAATAATATTTTTTAAATAATGTAAATGTTATTGTTCAGTTTTGGTGACTGATTACTTTATCATTTTCTGTTGAGTACAGCCAATTGTTGATTACCTGTGGAGTGGACATTGCATTTCCAATAAATCTGTGAACATTTGTATCTACAAACTCTATTTTCATTCTAGCTTTCTTTTATTACTGCATTAAACTTGGTATTACTGTTGCTGTATGTAGATTTTAGTCAACTAAAGCATGACAGAAAAATCTAATTGACAGATGCCTTGGTTCACAGGAGTAGTATCTTCAGCAGCGTAACACTACGGAGCCACCTCTGTCTCAGTCACGGCTGTGTCCTACTGAATCTTGATGGCACTTGTCACCTCTTGCTGCAGCTGTTTGTGTCCACAGACAAAAATTCAACATCCTTTTGGTCTAATTCTGCTGTGACAGAATAAGCTATCGCTCCATTTGTCCACATGTGCTGTTTCATGCCTGTATCACTAGTGAGCGACCGCAAATGTGTTCTTTTGATTTTCTTTGCTAGTCTTGCAAAGCACAGTAGTGTTGAACTAAATATCATAGAAAATCCACACAGGAGGAATGATGCAGTATAGCTGCCAGTTGTGTCCACCAGCCAACCTGTAGGAAAAAATAAATAATGGGTTTTTAAAGATCCATTAGTATTCTGATAATTTCCAAATCCTGTTATCAATGAGAGTTTTATGAACTTATCAACTTGTAAACTTACAAGTTACCACATATAAATACAATCAAACAATACAGGTTTACATCACTATCACTGTATTTCTTCCTCCTAGGGCAGGGAGGGATTTGTCCTCAGCAGGCAGATAAGATTTTTTGGGCTCTTGTTTGGGGCCTCAAATCTCAAGTCCATGAGAAAAGGCACAACAGTCATCACCACAAAACTCAATAAACTGCATGGATTTAACTGGCAGTCTTTAGACAGGCTTACAGAGTCCTGGGATTAAATAGTGTGTGCATCAGATCCTCATAAAGAAACAATTAGTGAGCTATGCCTTGGGCTCATGCTATTTTGCAATAATTTTTACTATGGAAAATAAAAAGCTTCAGAAGCAATGATTAATTGGGAATTGATGTGAACAGCAGACAAAATACGCAAGACATATATATATACTTGGATGTTTGAAAAAGATCTCTGACCTTCCACAATATTAAAACTGTGTCATGTTCTTCCTAAAGACTAATAGGAGTACAGCTCTCATCTTTACTTCATTGTAATGGAATCTATGGGAAAAATGATGATTAGATATTACAGTGATGAGCTGGCAACCGAACAAGAGTGGAGCTGACTCACCCACTTGTTCAAAGCAGTTTGGAGGTTAAAAGATAAGTCCTCCACACCAAAAAAAAAATAAAAATCTTGGAATTGAACTCCCTTTAGGTTACATTTTCGAAATCTGGTAATTTTACAATGTAATATTTTGCTCCTTTTACTTGCACAATTTCTAAACTATGTGAAGTGGTGACGTTAAGAGCTCTTAGAAGCTCATTCCATACTGGTTTTGTTTTTAAATTTCATCTCACTCTATATGTAGAAATTATCCCATCAAGACAGGGATGGGAAATCTAAAGACTTACAAAGATCTAGGTGTGTGTTAGTTCTCTACTCAGAGGTTACCTCCACATTTAGTGTGCATTTGCTGTCCTTCCTCTCCTGTTACATCACACTAATAGGCAAATCTGAAGTACTGATAAGATCATAGGAAAGTCATTTGGGAACTTACCTGCCACAGGCGGGCTCACTAGATACGGTATGGCATGCAGGAAATACACAACGCCCAGTGCTGATGATAATGAGGAAGTTCCCACTACATCTGCTGTCATGACAGGGATCAGCGTTACATAGGCTCCATCAAAGTAGCCAAAGGTAAATGAGAAAGGCACAAGCAAGGGGAAGTTTTGAAGAACTGGCAGGAAAAGACAACAAAGGCCATCCATTCCCACAGCAAAGAGGTAGCAAAAGTACCGATGCTTCTTCAGACACCTGCAAATTTCAAAACAGAAAAGAAAAATATCACTGAACAAAGCATCTCAGTTTCTATGCCCTAGCATGCAGTGCTTCAGTCTCTCTCTTATATAGCTCAAATTTAAGTCCATTTTATTACACAGTCTTCAAGATTAAAAACTCAGTGCTGATGAGCCTGGATAGGGAAAGCTGCCCACCTACAGCTGCAGAAACATCTGGCGAGCAGCAGTCCATGCTGTCTGTAGTGTTCTTCAGAATGCTCCTACCGAGGGAAGCCACCCTGCTGCCAGGATTTTGCAGTCCTCTGAAGTCTCAATGTTGGAAGCAGTATTTCATTGGGCTTTGCATCCCAGCTCAGCAAGATGTTCCAGTATTATACATAAAATACTGCAGTATACCTCTCTTAGCTGTCATTCTTCCAATCAGCCCTTAAACATGAATTAGCGTGAGCTAAGCAAGATGGCAATTCCCTTCCTCCTTGTTCCACAAAGCCAATAATTGATTTTTCCCACAAACTGAATAAGCACAAAGAATGCATCCTTTAGAATCAAAATCCCTGTTAATTTAGCCAGAATCTACTGATTTACAGTTGCTGTACACTGATGTTTGAAGTGAGCTGAGTTCACAAAGCATGGTGAGTTCTTACATACTGGAAAATGTACAACAATTTTCAGTCAGTCCTTCTGAGTATGTGCCTGACAGTGTTGAGCCAGACTCTTGACCCTCTTCCATAACTTCTGTGCCTCCCAGCAGCACAAAAGAGATGGAAAGTCAGAGGAAGCAGGGTGAAATCCTCTAGAAAATAGATACAAAAAATCACTCTCAACATACCTGAGGCAGGGGGTTGTATTTCCACTGCCAAATGCACTAACATAATTTCTTCAGGAAAAAAGATCTTAAACCAGTAGAATTGAACAAACTCAGAAGAGATGAAAACATTAAACAGTAAGCATTTCTGAAAGTTAAGACTGTATGTTGTTTTTTTTTTTTAAGTTGCACATGATACCTCACTTGCATCCAGCCTCCCACCAGCTAAAGCTTATGTTTGCTTAGTTATAAACCCTTACCTTCTGTCTGTTAGCCATCCAAAGGTGATATTACCAATGATGTCTATGACACCAAGTATGGACATGAGGAAGGCAGCCTGGTGATGACTCACTCCAACACTCAAAGCATAAGGCACTAGGTAGACAAAAAGAGGGCTACATCCATATGCCATAAATAAAACTGACACTGCCAGCACCATGAAGCCTGGCATCAGTAAAAAGTCATATTCCTTCTGTGAACAGTAGCATAAACAGTCACGAGACCACACTTTGATTAAAGGTGAACAGACGGACATTTGCTTTAAGTCTTGTTTCTCTGTTTCGGGGACACGATCCTGTTCAAGAAACTCAGGAACAGTTTTACGATCCTCCTTAAGAGAAATGGGCCGCATCAAGGCGCCACAGACACAGAGGTTTAAAACAAAACCTCCCAGGATGAGTAAAGCTCCTCGCCAGGAAAACTGCTCAATTAAGAGCTGGACTACGGGGGCCAGGATGAAGGTACCAATTCCACTTCCTGACATGGCTATTCCATACGCCAACGCTTTTCTTTTGTTGAAGTATTTGCCCACCATCGCAATGGCTGGAGAATAACAAAGTGCAAACCCAAGTCCTAGAAGAGAAAGCACAGTACAGATGGCTTAATACTAAGCATGACATATGGAACATATTAAATTAAACCACCTAACATATTTTCATTAGCACAAATGAATAGAAAGTTTTTCTGATTCTTGATCATGCAGCCCAGTCAAGAGTGCAACGAGAAACTAGGATGACTCCTTTCTTCCAGTGGCAGAGTCACTGTCTTGACAAACCTAACTGATGAGCACTAATCTACGATAATAAGGTTCAGAAATAACTGATAGGGTTCACTTAATAACAAGGATGATCACTAAACATCAGAGAAATTTTGTGTCACCCTCTCTTGCATGTAAGATGAGGTCTCGCCCCAGGGTCTGCACCAATGCTGGCATTGGACACACTGTCCTGATGAGGCACCACTTTGTGTTTTGGTCTGTTGCAACCCTGAACATTAGTTTTCAGGTCTCTGAAACATAGTACAAAGAGTCTGTCTCTGTTACTAATATTCTACAAAAACCTCTTCTTGGTCAGCTAAACAAACTCCGTGGAACAGCTGCTTGGAGCCTTGACCATTTTAAATCCCTGCCTACAAGTAAAGAGGGAAGAAAAGCCTCAGAAAACAAAGCCAGATCCAGTTGAGTAAACAAATAAGATTCATCTCTTGGGCTGAGAAAAAGATTGTGGTCTCTGTTGCAGAACCAGAGAGCAGATTTTAATCATCATGTGGTTGCTCTAACACTACAACTGAATTTTCCCAATCAGTCATGGAAATGAGTTCCTGACTAGGGTTTTGGAGCATGTCCTACATTGAGGGTAAAACAGACCTGACTGCCAAAAGCGGAGATAATCACCCTGTGCTGTAACCAGCTTGCCAGTCCTCCTCAAAGGCCACACTGTGTAGGACAGGCACTAAACCTGCCAGGATGGAATAAGTGGATTAGAGGGACTCCAGGCGGCAGGTGCCTGGTCTGGCACCCCTCAGGAGGCGAGGCAAGAAGCAGGGCACAGAGCTGCGGCTGGACCTGTATAGGCACCAAGCCAGAGGAGCAGCCCTGAGCTAGACATCATCACTTGAGAGTGGTGAAAATTATACTCTATTTGGCATACGTGCCATTAGTTTTTTTACTGAGTTGGCAGGGGGAAACATCCCAAAAAAAGCCAATCAATGTCCTGTGAAAAGTGCAAATGCAAAGTTTAGGGCTGAAAACATTTTCATACCTCTTAGAAGGAACTGTTAATTATTGACACTCCCCTGTCTCACCTCTGCTTCACTCTTCACAGTTTTCAACTGCTGCAACTTTTACAGATTTAGGCATTCGCCCGTTATGGTCCCACCTCCTCTCTGGGTTGGGGGCATCACCTCTAGCCTTTACCAACAGTTCATGTCTCTGTCAATCAGTCCCCATATACTAGAATTTCACTGCTTTCCGAATTGGCTCTCTACAACTTCATGTACAAAGTGCAACTGCTTTTCCACCTCAGTATTCACAGCAGATCCCAGTAACGAAGCCTCAGAGGCAGCATGGTATGTGGCACAGTCCCTCAAGTTACAAGAAGCCTTTTTATTTGTTATGAACGCATTTGTCAAAGATTAACATTGTAATACAGGAGTGACATGCGCTACAATAAGGATTTTTTTTTTTTAAACAAATAAGCTGTTGGCAGCATGTGAACCTCAGTAATTCCACCAACTCGTTACTAAACAGCAGGGGACCAAGTACAAGGTCTTATATCACCGTGGCTACCAGGTCAGTATTAATGAGGAAGGAATGTCAGTGTGACCACGGGCCCCTCTCAAGTTCCTCTGTGCACAAAAACACGGGCAGACAGGAAAGAGCAAAGATTTATTATCACCGTACCTGAACACAAATGGAAGAGCTGCTACAACAATTCTACCAACCAGCAATTTTTTTGTTTTTCAAATGGAATATAATGTAGACAAAAATCAGGTTCACAGCTGAGCCAGGTATTCACCCAGTGCTCCTCTGCCTCTTACTTACTCCTATGCTTTGATTTAAACTTTTTTTCCTAAATATGTAAATATTTTGGGGCAGTCTAGAACTCCTAGTTTAACAAACTCCTCTCAAATCACAGGCAAAAAAAGGAAACCTTTTATATATATCACCTGCAACAGCAGTCCTTCTTGACCTCCCATTATTTCAGAACTTTATCCATAGTCCTCTCTCTAACAGAAGTTAGAGTTGCTTTTGCAGGGTGCTGCATTTGGGTTACATGAGACTCAGCGTGTGCTGAAGCTCTCACAGCGGCAGCCAAAGCCGCTCTTTTTCAATGAAGGGAACAGGTCTGAGTATCTCTATTAGATCAGTGGGGTGTCAATAAGACATGAAGAGATCACCCATCATGTGTTGTGTTCCTGGCAGCAACAAAGGGGCTGAATGCATCCTACCTGTAAGGACTCCTAATGATAAGTAGAGATGTTCCAGACTGGTGGCGAATGAGCTCAAAATTAGTCCAGAAGATGCAAGCAGCCCTCCTAGCATGATACCAACTTGGCAGGATACATGATTACTGATTAAACTCCCAAGCGGGGCTTCAAAGAAACAAACAAAGCTGGTAGTTAATGGCAGGTCCTCATACACAGTTCATTACAACAGTCATAAAGGAAAAGCACTCAGGAGGCAAGCAGGAGAAAACGGTGATAGCAGCTACACAGAGTGATCTTCCAACATTCCCCCTATTGTAATAGTATGAGCACCAAAAACAATTGAAAAAACCTTCTAAAAACAATTTTTCTGAAAGTCACAATAAACCTGAAATTTACAGCGGCTTTCTCAGAAGCCATTTTCATAGATCAAAATCATTACAGGACACAATCTGGAGTGCTGGGGTCAAGAGAGGCCACAGTGACAGCCCACAGTATTCATTACTCCACACTTACAACACTCCAACCTTCTCCCACCTGGAATTTGCACTTCAGCTCTCAGTAACTTCAAGTGTTTCCCAGATATAACCTGGCTGACACAAGTCAGTTGCTATGTCTCATTGCAGCTGGGTCGCCCTGCCTTTCTAGCAATTCTCATAGATTAACCCTTTTCCACAGGACATGGATTTTCACCTAGCTGTATAGCTTGAAAGCAAACCCACAAGAAATTTGGTACAACTGCTGCATTTTTCCTGACATCAAATCTTCTTTTAGGGGAGAAGAGTAGTTGTAAATATACATGTATGGTAAAAGGAGGACGACTGTGACTTGATCTGGAGGCAAGATGTACATCCTGTGCTAAGTCTCAAATATGACTCCAACCAAAAGGCAAAAGAAACACGTGCTCAGTTAGTAGCTCTCAAACACGACATGACCCACAAGACCTCGACGAAAGTACATTTCTGAAAACTTAGATCATTGCATAAGAAAAAGTTCTGCTTCTTCTCTTCAGTATGAAGACACTCCCTTCCTGCACATCTATGCTGATGGAAGCAGCTTGGACATACCATACCGCAGAGAGCCCACAGTATCGCTCCCAGCTGACTCCACCAACTTGTGAACATGCTACAACCAGATGGAACTGATGAAAAAGCAGCCACATTAGGCTTAAAAGGGTAATACACACCACAGAGCATTGTAGCACAGTCGACAATGGAGTGGATCCAAGCAGTTCTGGCATAATCCTGCCCAAAGTATGCCTGGAACTCCACAAAAAATATGGAGATGCACCTAGGACAAAAAATATGAACACAAATTTGTTGAACATGGAACATTTGTTCACAGAAAACACAGGTCTCACTCTTCAGGTATAAAAAGTACCCACTTGAAGGTCCTCTCCAGCTCCCAGAAAAATCAAATCTGTGGTTTGCCGATATGCCAACGAGATGGAGAAATGTTTAAACAGTTTCTAAGGGATATTGGCAGAGAAGATCTACCTTTAATGCATGAGGGACAAGACATGGAATATGAGAACAATCCTTGTTTTGCATTGGCAACAACTGAATCAAAAACTGGTGTCCAACTCAACAGTGGGATTAGACAATTAGGCTGATGTAGAGCCTAATTCAGACATAATCTCCAGAGAGATTACAAATGTTATAATACCACATGTTTCTTGCTGGGGTGCCTGCCTCTAGAGTTTTTATACCTCACAGTATTTTAAACTTAAATGAAGTTGTAATTATCATCAGCAATTTATAGCCCATATTGTGATGTTGCTTCCCTGGAACACAAAGCCCTAGTTTTCCAATTCCTCACTGACCTGGTTGCTCGCTACTCCACACCTGCACAAACTGGCTAACGTAGTACCTACAGAACAAACACTACCTACGTGTTCATGGATGGACAAGTGCAAAGCAAATCCTGACAAACAATCAAAACACCACAGGAGCCCGTGGACCTTCCAACATTTTAATAAAATGCTTCTAGGAGATGTTACTTTGCTCTGCTTAGCAAGTGTTACTGTTCTACCTGTCTCTGCAGGGGAGCAGATTCAAAGGCTGCATAGTTTCATCCTCATTCCTGGATCAACAAGAGATGCCTTTTCACTCCCTCTTTTTCCCTCCAGTAAATCAATGAATGACCACTTTCTTCAGCTTTTTTTCTTGCACATACTTCATTCTTCTATATGGTCTACTGTGTGTCAGCCATTAGATCATTTCTTGGATGTAACACATTCCACACATTAAAAAATAATTAAATCCACTAGGAATTATTCTCTACTGCTATTATGGAATTGGTACATTTGCATACATTAACTAACACTAATCAGTGTTTCTATGCCTCTTTTATGATGTTGAGTCCAAAACCCTAGGCTTTAGATCCCTAAATCTGGCAGCTTTATTCTAAAAGAAATATGAACTTTAGGTAGGAAACACTATATTTACGTTATACTGACTGTCCAACAAGACACTGTTTCAGTGTTCCTCGCTTACCAGGGTGCTTATCTATCTGCCTAATATAGCTTTGAATGTCCATGTTCACACACACCAGGCTCCTCTGTCTCCGGTCGGCATCAAAGTCACTGTGGAAGCAATCTCATCCCACGTTGCTTTATGTTCATGCAAGGCAGAAATCTATTCCTGTTCTTTCTATTTTTGAGAAATATTTTCTGCATATTTTGGATACCAGAAGGGTATAAAGAGGGGCCTCTTCTCTAGGGCTCAGACCTTCTCGGGCAGAACAACACCTGAAGTGCTTGCAGTAGGAGAAGGAGGTATTTTCGTGTTTTTCAGAGAGACTCAGGAAGCTAATTCACTGGGCCTAGCAAAAATGAGCATGGCTGTGGGGTCAGAGGGACACAGTGAACCCAAAGAGACCCTACGTGATTCCTCCCTCCCCAATCAAACTACCAGAGCCTGAAATAGCGCTACCTGCTCCAGGCCTTGATTCTGTAAGAAATCAAGGAGAGGGTGCTGAAAGCTAGAGCAGCTGTCAGAGGAGGCAAGACTAAAACCAGAGGGCTCATAATCCCTCAGTCATCCCCACAGTTTTAAGGGTTTCAGGAAGCCTTTAAAAATGTAACAAGAGTTTGTACCTAACCAGAATAACCCCGGCAGCTGTGCGACATCAGGGGAGATCTCAAAACCTCTTCCTAAGGTTAAAAAAAAAAAAAAAATGGAAAAAGATAATGCCACGAACAGGTCAGCAAGACAAGCAGCAGTTGCCTTTACCTTGTCACGGCCCTGGTACAGATAGTGACAAGGAAGCAGCCAGCAACAATCATCCATCCCCAGCCTCCATCAGGAGGGCCAATGTGCCGGGCCCGCTGGGATGAGGCCATGGTGATTCCTCCCTCTTCCTGGCCTCAGTGGCAGGGGCTGACTCCAGCCAGCATGCCAGGTGTGGGCCGGGGCTGCTTGGCGCATGGGTCACTGGCCATCTGAGAAGAGAGAGAGAAAACAGGTAGACAGGGAGTCAGGGCACGTTGCACATGCTGTAACCTGCACAGCTGAGCAGGACATACTGCTTCGGCTCTAATGCACAAAAGTGGGAGTTTTCTTTCAAATGCAGTTTATGAAAATTTGTTGGAAACAAGGGCCATCAGAATTTGGCCCTGTGTCTAGTATCATGCTTTTCATGATAATTTGCCCAGCAGTTACATCCTAGCACACGATACCCTCTTCCCCACTACATGTCACAGCACATAACATGTAAGTCACACACTACCACTGCCAGTCATCCATCTACCTTCAGCAGGCTCCCCCTGCTCATGCCAGTCCCTGGCCTGAACTATGTTTTCAATTGCAGTCTCCATTCAAACTATCTATTCTTCCTTGTAGGAAATTTAGTGCAAAATTTTTGTTTGAGAGAATACAGTTTTCACCTTTTTTTACTAAAAGGGAATATTCACTGCAAAATCAGAGCACATCTGATGATAAAATGACCTCCTTGTTTCACAAGCCGAACCACAGATGAAGCCTGTAATCAGCAGGACACGGCAACTTCATTTTCTGAGCATGGACAATTCACCAAAGGTTAGAGCTAGCCTGTGCCTTTCTGCTATCCACTTAAATCAAAGTAGTGTCTGCATCCAGGCCACAAAGTAGTCTCTAAATGCACACTGGATGCTGCAGGACACTGCAGGAGACCAAATGACATCCACAGGACCCTAAGTGAGTAACTGAGTCATGTGCATTGGGGTAGCTTTGCTAACACTTTGGGTGTCACCAGCAGCACAGGACCAACAGCCCTTAGTCCTTCTGCATCAGTGACTGTATGGCAGGGCTTGATGGAGGGGCCTGAGACACCCCAGTTTACTCAGTGCAGGAACACGCAGTGCTGGCTGTCACTGGTTGATTTCAGACCACATTTTTGCCATCATCAACAAGCCCTTAGCCCCTGGGTGGATCAAAGATTTATAAGACATAAGTAAACTATCTGGGATGCCTTTCAGTTTTGCTTGGAGAGAAAGCTCAAATAGCTTCTACATCACCTAACTATTTCAGATACTAAATATGCAACATTTCTACTGACAAGAACCACAGGCCTCACAGGAAATGTGTCCTGTTACAGCATGTCAGAGGTCTGCAGAACCACTCAAAAGGGCAATTCAAGAAAGCATCTATGTGGCTAATAATGTGCATTCTTGGTCCTTGAAGCTGCTCACACAGGTGATAGCTAAGGCTTGACTTCGGAAAGCCCAGAGATCCCTGACCCAAAACAGCAAGGCACCTCAGAGCCAACCCTAAATATCACCACAACTGAACCTTTGAGAAATATTCATCAGTGGCCTTCCTGAGATATCAGAAGCTGCACCTCAAAACCATCACAAAATTATTTTAAGAAAACATACACAGATTGCCAAATTCAAAGATGAGCAAAGTAGGAGAATACAGATATGACAAAATAAACAAAAACCACAATATGTTGAAAGTTTATCTGAATTCCTACTAGGCTGTAAATAATACCCTGTAACAACACTGTACAAGAGAATCAGTGGACTCCTTTTAAAAAAAAAAAACTAAGGTAGTGTTTTGATTGCAAATGGATAAGAAATTTTATTCCTAATCTACCTGCTTGGCTTTCAAAGCCCAAGAATTGCAGCCGATCATACAGGGTATGATCAAGCCCTATCCTATGTGTTAACACAACTCAGTCCGTAAATGTTAAAAACTGAAAAACCTAGTGCAACTTTTAAAGACAGGAGGTAAGTCCAAAAGTCAGGGGCTGTGCTGTCATATGAGGCATCACAATTGCCATGGGAAGTGAACAGTGAAGAAAACTGTTTGTAACCTCTCAACAAAATGTGTGCTTGTCAACGTTTTTGAGCAGTGACTTCAGCTAACCATGTTTGAAACAATATGCTTGAAAAATATCAGTGAATAAAAATATCCACAAAAGATGCCAAAACTGTATTATACAGCCATCCAGTTACACAATCTCGACAAGCTAACATTAAATATCTGTTCCAGGTCTTTGTGTACTCCTCAAGTACCATTTACTTCTCCCTCTGTGTTAGTCGGCCTGTCTCACACATTTTACATTAGGCCAAAAACGCTGTATGGTATTTGGAAATAAAAATTACTGTCCTATTTTCTCTCTTCATGTAATAGGCCTTGCTAATATTTATTTATAATTAAATATTTCTATGCAGCTTTCTAATAATTCAGTCCAAAGAAATGCCCATTACAAGCACTAGAACATGTACTAATGCTGTTTTAGTATTCTCTTCCCCTCCATTGTCACAAACATCTGTTTTATTTTAAATTGTCTTATAAAGCCTTTGCAAGGTCTGTGTTGTTCTCTGTGTTTATACGGAGTCTAGCACAATAGTGATTTTCACTTCAGCATGAAGTACTACTACAGTATAACCCACACTAATGAACCAGAAGAGAGCTCAGGTATGGTAAAAAGAAAAACTCTAATGACCTGCTTTGCTTCTCACTTCCGTGGCTCCTTGGGGAGACATATAGTACTCTGCTCTGCCTGATTATGGAAACCATTCCCTCTTTGTATGAAGAACAGGCCACATCTCAGATGGGACACATGAAATAGCTACAGTTTAGATTACATATCAATGGTCACACTAGCTCAAAAAGATCAAACAAGAATACAAGAGCTTTTGTAAGAAAAAAAATGTGTTATCTCATGGATAAAGGCTCCTAAGTGAGTTTAAAGGGTCCCAGCTGGGTGCAGTCTTCACAAGTTCATTCCTACAGCTGATTAGAAAAATCACACAAAGCAAATTAAACCCAAATGAGTTTATGATTTCAAACCTCATCTTCAAGGTATTCAATTACTAGGACTCATGTACATAAAAGATCAATGAAAGCTCTGGAATGGAGACCAGGACAGTTTGCCATTTCTGGCACAACCTTCTAAGATACAGCAAAAAATGCCAAAGCTCCTGATAGAGCTTTCTGAGAAGACTCTACAGGTGCCCACAGGACCAGCAGGACATCACCACCCTCTTCACAAGCCTTGAACTTTACATTTCAAGCAAAGCGTCACATTTTTTTACCTTACGTAATTTGCTTCAGGGCAAACATACAGCAGTGACAGTGTGTACCTGCACCCTGCTTTCCTCTCCATTATACTCTGAAACAAACTTCTGACACAAACAGAAACAAATTGAGGAAAAAAGGGACAACAGACTGGCCAATGCAGGAAAATGAGAAAGCATGTTTGTAGGCAAATATAGCACTATTCACAAAATCTGAGGGAGGCTGAAAATGTCTGCAGTCAGAATTTAGATGCCAGGCACATGACACAAAAGACACACCTTGTGTATTTGCCTTCCAGCCCACACTGCTAATCTGTAAGCAGACCATATTTCTCATGTGCTGATTCTACCCAGGCAACAGACAATTTTGCAGGGTTTATGTTACGTTTCAAGTAAGCTGACATGAACTAATGACTGTTTTTTTATTTTTAACTGATAGAGTCAATTATACATCCCTTTCCATACCGCTTCAAGCAACAACTGCCTTATGAAATATGTGCAAACTCTGGATCAACAAGTTATCTAATGGCTAAGGCAGTGGTTACATGATTCTTCATGTTGGATTAGTGAATGACCAGATCATAAAGTAGCACAGTTTGATGCAAACCACCACCACACCCCTGTCTACTTAGATGGAAAACAAAATTCAACGCTTTTGTGAGTGTCTGGGTCTAACCTAGCCACAAAAAAACCCCACTGCTATCTAATCTAGCATGAAGCCAGAGTGGCACGAACAGATTATACCCCGATTTGGCAGTGAAGTCTGCCATTAACTTATCCTGCCAAATTCACTTGAACAAGCAGAGCCAGTACCAGTGCTTTGCACCATGTGACTACCACATTTTGCATCTAATACTAACAGCCTCAAAGGTGGATTTATTGCACTATTGCAAATTTAATACGTTATGTTCTAATACCTGGATGACTGAATAGCCCATAAGAATCCACGACAGCCACCTGAATTAACAGGGCACTCATAAAGTTCAAATTATTTAGCTCAAGGGTTTCCTATCAATCACAAGTAATGTAGTTAGGTGGAGTTTGTATAGGCACGTGATAACCACAGAGGGATCCTGAGCAATTCAGACATACCTCTGCAGCACTTTTGCAGGGTCTTGGCAAGGCTAAGCTTCTTATTTTGGATCTGAGCAGTATCCTTCATTGCCCCTTCTAGAGGAATGAAGGGTTTTTTTCAAGTTCTGATTATTAAGGGTGGAGGAGGAACTTCCAGGAATGCCAGAAGGGATAACAGTAACCATGCAATAAGCAGAAATATACACAAAAATTTTCAGAGGAGTCAACAATCTCCACATAAAGAGACCTAACTAATTTTAATGCACAAACAGCAGTAGCTGGGTGCCACAGCCTCAGCCTAGATTTCTGGCCCAGCTTCCCAGGCAAGCTTCAGATGGGGATTGAGGCCCTAGTTTGCATTTTAGCTGTACATTAACATGCTTGGGAAGAATTTGATGACATATCAGGCTAAGCAAACACAGATTAGCTATTTGCTTACATGGTTACTTGCTGTTATTTTCCCAGAACCCTGCCTGCCAACATATGCACAAACAGCAAACATTTAATGAGGTTACAAGCAACTGAAAACAATGATATTATAAGAAGTGCCTGGTCAACACAGAAATCAGCCACTCAGCCTCCTACAGCAGATCAGTGCAAATCTCAACTCCTTGACTTCCCTCTCACTTCAAGGAGTACTGTGCCTTTCACAGCCACTAAACTAATAGGCAAGTTAAATAATTACCTTTCTTCCAGCTGCACATGTCTAAAAGCACTTATTACGTCAACCTGACAATTTCATTCTGAGGTTAGAAAACTTCATTTGTTTACTGTTTTCTAATTATTTTTATCGTGGATAGACCAGATTGTGGACTCTGCAAGTGAAGCTGAACAAGCAGAAAGCACACTTTGTCTGAGCAATC